AACCACTAACACCATCTTCATCATCAGAAGAAACGAGAAACCTGGCATCGGTTTCCAGCGCCTTTGCTTGGGCTATTTCTTCAGTGAGGTCGAACCCTCGGGCATGGATTTCTTCGAGAGTCTCCCTCCATGATTGACACTTGGCCAAATCATTACTACGTTTTTCCCGGTCGGAGGCCTCCTTTAGCTCCGCTTGAATAGACTCGGCATCCTTTAAGTATACGGCGATGGTCTTATCAGCCGTAGCCTTCGTCTTCTCAACTCAGCCTTGTCCTGTGCAACTTTGGCCCCGGCTTTAGCAAGATTTGCCTCTAGCTCCTCAATTTTCTTGGCCTAGGCTAGATTCTTCACTTTAATGCCTCGGAGTTGTGTTTCAGCCGAGGCCAATTGGGCTAGAGCAGCTTCTTTATCGGCAACGAGCCGATCCATGTTCTCTTTCTATCGGTGGCAGTTAGCCTTAACCTGATCGACCTCTCCCTGGAGATGCCTAATCATCTCCACCTTTTGTTGTAGCTGAGACATCAAAATGTTAGCCTCTGCAATAGGACCAAGAAGACCATACTCTGTTAAAATCACGGACCTGCTCGTCTAGCTCGACCTCGTTTTTCTGAGCTTTGACCAAGTCAGCCCGAAGGTCCTTGATCTCCTTCTCTTTTTGGCTACAGAGGAGCCTCAGGGCCTTCTCTTCATCTGTAGCCTTCCTGAGCTCGGCCTCACATTGGCTCAGCTCGGCCCTGAACTTGATGATTACCTACACATGAAACGAAGACATGTCAGTCAAAAGAAGGCGAGAAAAAAAAATTACAACAATAAAAGTTAGTGTTCACCCGAGAGAATGGACGTTGAGCCTCTTCGAAGAGGGTGAATGCATCATTAAGGTCAATGGCATCGTCAACCCCGGTGAAACAATTCTGAAAAGGATCTTCTTCGAGAACCTTGCTCGGGTCAGGCGTTCGCAGAGCCCGAGCATCCTTTATTGCCTCCTCGGAGTAAGATGGTAGAGAAGGTGAGTGACCCATTATCACGGCCCCGAGCTCCTCACTCGGGGCACTCTGATTAGCTTCGGCCCTCTCAGCACTTGTCCCCTCCGGCGTACTTGTTGAAGGAGGGGGAATGATCTCGATCTTGGGGGACTCGAGGGCTTTGCCTGAGTCTTTCTTCGGAGTTCCTTCACCATGAGGCAAGGTCTCCGGTTCGGAGGACTTGGCGGCCTCGACTGGGTTTCCTAGTTTGGGGCACCAGCGCCGACTCTTCACCCTTGTTCTCTTCATCATCCAGATGTTAGATGGCTGAATACAAGTCCACATAGATAAGCTTCCTCCTTGGCTTTCGAGTAGGGGCCCCCTCATCCTGGGGGTCTTCGGGTTTCAAAGCCCTCTTTCTCTTGTTGTCTTTCCCCGATTTTGGAATCGAGGACTCGGTCCCTTCCTCGAGCGGGGTTGGACTCATTTCGGAGATATCTTCGATGCCTGCACAAATAAGCATGAGTGAGATGACATCACCAATAAAAGAAAAGTATCAAAAATTTGGGAAGAGAACTTACCATGATGTTTGGCCTCCCATTTGCCCCTCTATAAATCGCGCCATTTGCGCTCATCATACGAGAAGGTCGCAGCTAACTTTTGGACCCATTCCTCGAGGTCGGGATAGCGTGAGACGTCCAAGCAATAGCTGCAAATGAGGTAAAGGCATTACGAAACATGAAACCGGAATATGAGTAGCTTTTTGGAAAAGAACTTCACTTACGATTAAAGTTTCATCTCTCCGGGAATCGCATTTTGTCCCTAGGGATGACATCCGAGGTCCTCACTCTGATAAACCGGCTCATCCGGCCTTGATATTTATCCTCATCGTTACTAGCAAAGAAGGCCTTTTTTATCGACGTTGAAGCTTGATGAGCCCCCGAAACAGCTGAGGTTGATACAGTCGAATGAGATGGTTGAGGGTAAATTTTAATCCCTCAGCCTTGCTGGAGAAATAGCGCAGCATAATCACGATGCGCCAAAAGGAAGGATGGATCTGGCCGAGGGTAACCTCGTACCTTTTGCAAAAACCGATCACTACTGGATCGAGGGGACCCAGCATGAAGGGGTAAGTGTAGACACTTAAGAACCCCATCACGTGAGTAGTAATACTTTCCTCGGGGTTTGGGATCTGTACCACGACCTCGTCTCCCCAGCCGCAGTCCTTCTTCATGGCCTTAAGGTACTTCTTCAATATCGAATTGATATATCGAGATACATGTTCGCATCGGCCTGGGATATCGGGGGGATCTTCAATATTGAAATCCTTCTTTATCACTCAAGGGCTGGGAGTGATTTCGTGAAGAGCCAGCGGTGCCACCGGTTTGGCCGGCTGGGAAGAAGAAGAAGATGGTGCTTTCTCTTTTTGGGGACTATTTTGGAAGTTTTGGCCAAAGTTCTAAGCTAAGAAATGCAGATGGTAGCGGAGCGTGGTGTTTTCTGGGAGCTTGGCATTTTCTGGCACTTAAAGGGGCGGCAAAAGCAGAGGATGAGAGAAAGAGATGAAGAGGAAAGGTGATTAGAGTAAATGTAATGAAGAAGTAAAGTTTTTAATTCATAGAATGAGCCCCGTATTTATAGATGAGCGGCTACGGTTCGGCGACGCTAAATAGTCGACCATTACTGGCATGCATTTAATATTTTGGGGGAAACGAACTGACGGGAAGTTTCGGTCACTTCGAGCGCCTACGTCACAGGAATGACGTCATCATCAGAGACTCTGAAAAATTGAGGTTCAAATCATTTCTTATCATCTTACTCTAAGAAATGCGGGGACTATCTGTATACGGTCGAAATCAGGTATGACCGATTTCCCGGGCTCGAGGGGTCGCCTTAAGCCCAAGTTCAGGCAAGGTCGAGTTCGAGCTCGATGGACAGGACTCGAGCTCGAAGACAGAGTGCAATGCTCGAGGATCGAAGTACGATGAGTATCGAAGCCGAGTATGCTCAACCCCGAGATAATGCCATTACGGATTTGTAACAGAATGAGCGAGATTCCCGCCATGTCCCTAAGATCATGGCGTAAATCCCGGAATAGATTTGTACGAATCCGTACTAGGCGGTTAGACAACTGTCCCAATAAGATTCTTTACTGTAAATGGAAATGTACCTTATTTAGGGTTCCCCTATTATATAAAGGGGGCCTCAAGTATTTGTAAACATCATCTAATCATTGGCAAAGAATATATTCTCTTACTTTTTCGCTCATTGCTCCTCAGAATTGTCTTTTAACTTTATTATTCTTGCTTTATTGTTCTTGATCCATCTCGAGGTCACTTCGGTTCGAGGTCAAGACCGGTCTACATTCTGGTTTGATTTTACTTGTTCTTTTTATTTATACTTTAGATTTCTTGGTTATTAATTAGTATTGAGCTAAATCACGTATCTTTAAAACCATAAATCAAATTTAGTTGTTACTCGTATTTTCGAGGTAAACAATGTGGAAGAATTTGGTATTGGGGTCTCCATCATTTAGCCAGTGCACTCTAGACCTAAGTTTCCAATAATCCTCTTCCATTTTAAAACAACTATTGTAGTCTCTTATAAGGAAGGACTCTAGTTGGCTCAGAATGGTACTAGTACCATAGGAGCTAGATTGTTGAATACCTTTTAATCTAGCAAGTAGTCTTTTGTTGTTGTTTAAAGATATCTCCAAATGTATCATTTTTTTTCACCTAGCAATCCGCTCTTTGAAGATATTTGCAGCATCAACATAATTATTGTTATACCAAATGTCCTTAACTATATTACTAAAATCGGGGTGACCACGACAATAGGTTTCTAATCTAAAAGGTTTGAGGTAAGTGTTACTTTGTTTGGGGATTAATTCAAGGAGAAGGGGTTATGGTCAGAATGAGTTTGGGTAGGTGAATGATTGATGCATTTGGGAAAAGGTTGACCCAAGTATTGTTAGCAAACACCTTATCTAATCTCTCCATAATAAGGTCGTCTCTATAGTTTCTGTGATTAGACCAAGTGTACTTACAACCTTTGAACCCTAAATCCATTAGGTTACAAAAGTTTATGCTAGCCCAAAAGTTAGCCACTCTTCTCATGTTAATAGAGTTCCTCCCAAATTTCTCTTTAGCTTTCATGACATCGTTGAAGTCTCCCCTAAAAGCCAAGCACCCTTATAATTATCAAAAATATTTTCTATATTTTTCCACATTAAGTTTCTAATATTTCTACTAGTACTAGCAAATATTGAAGAAAAAAGCCAAGGGTATCTTAAGGTATTGTTGAAGGATTCGTCTACCTCCATGGGTGATACATCCTGTGTCTATCCTCCGTTGTTAATGGGACATTGATGGGGTGTCTCTGAGTGTTATCATCTAGTGGGGTTTTTCAGGCAATTGAATGTCCATTGGAAGGGGAAAGGATAGTATTTGATTTATGGAGATATATATTTCTTCTTCATGGCGGGGAAAGTTGTTCAAATTAACACAAAATATCAATTACCTAATATCTAAATTACAAACCAAAATGACATTATCTGTGGTAAAAACTTAAAAATAAATGATAGCATAAACTTTCACATAAAAAGAAATATGTAACAAGTTATAAACTTAACACCATCTTAAATTACTTATAAATAAATACATATGATTTATTGTCTTTCTTTTGTCCTTCACCCGATTTTTGCTCTATCACTACTGGTACTCAAGATTATAGTCATTAATTAATTCATTCAAGTTCTTCAGAACAAGTCAAATAGAATTCATGCACCAAATTAAAACAATATTAGGTAGCAGTTCTTGTCCCGGATTCAGTGAAATTCTGGTACTAGTATCACATTAAAAGAAACAGGAGGAGTATTAGTTATGCCGAGGCATATGCACTTTATACCATGCGGTGGCACTGGACATCGCTTGATCGAAAATTTCACATATTGGGTAAAAGTATAGAAAATGACACCGCCTTGTCATTATAATGATTTATTCATTTGTCTATTTATTCAAATTATGTCCGCCACTGCAATTATGCAAGTTCACAAGTGACAATAATTTTTTAAGAAAGTAGCAGCCAGAGGCATATATTACAAGTACGAAGCTGTAATACACAAGGCTCCATTGAAATTTACAAGAGAAGAACGGAAATAATAAAAAGACATGGTTCTTTTGGAGTTATTACAACATTATTGTTCTAACTTATAGAACAGCCATTTCGTGGGAATGGTCCTGACTGACTCCTGAGATAATAAGAATAATAAGCTTATGGAAATCCAACAGGTTTCGAGCGAGTTGGAGGAGGTGAAGGAGGCTGTTTTGGAATATAAGGCATAAGAGGAGTTCCATGTTGAATAGGTCCAGGTCTTACTGAAGCTTTTGAGCTTGGAACTGGATCTATGCGTCGGTAATCCTCCAGATTTATCTTCCCTACATCACCCTTGTCTGTGCTTGGTTCGTAGCCATTGCCCTGCAAATTGGAAAAATAAAAGGACATTAGGCTTTGAGGCGTGAACACTACCCTTCCCATGCCCCACTTGTGGGATTTCACTGCATTGTTGTTGTAGAAGAGTATATATTCAGAATGGTCATCTTAATTTCATAACATAATTCATGTCATTTTTCTTTTTTGCCCTCCCATGGAAGACAGTCTTGTTTGACCAAAAAGTGTAAACTTTCGGTTAAACTATTAATTCTTATGTAATGAAGGGTTAAACCTAGTTAATGATAATGTCTCTAGATTTAGTACTAGTTAGCGTAAATAACGTGAGACAATGCTGATGGGGAACTGAAAACAGTGCACATTTAATATTCTGAAGGATTTGAGCGATAATAGAGAAATATCAAACAATAAATAGCAATAAATGATATTTATGTAAATAACGAGAATGTTTCACCCAATATTGAATGAGGTGGATGATTCTTCTTTCTGACAGTGATGAATGACAGACAAATCCTAGAATACTGGAACTATTCTCGGATCTGATGGAAAAGTATGAAATAATGGACGATGGAATCTGAGTAAAATGGTAGAGTTTGTATCTTTGCTAGAGGGAGAGTCTTTTTCTCAAAAAGTGTTCTTATCAAATGAATATTACATGTCATATCCCCTTATCTTTTTTTCTATTTATATGAGACATATCCCTAATCAACCCTAATAGTACAAGTGCAAAGAATATTCAATGGAATATTCTCTTTAATATCTTATTACATAACTAGTTGTTTTTGCTCTGTCCTTGGTGCTGAACTCGACCATTATTAACTGCCCAGCCACGAGTCCTAGAAACTTCGGCCTCTCCCTTGCTTTATTTAATAGATAAAGAGTCATCACCGAGCGAGGAGGGTTTGATCTCTCGTAAAAGGAGGTCGGTGGACGTCGGCGATGGGACAATCCGAGCCGTAGATTCAACAAGGGTTGATCGCGAGTCGGCCACCGTTATGCTTGAAGATGATGTAGATCTACCCCATCTGAAGTCCCACCATCAGTAGGGGCCGTGGGAGGCGTACCTTTCCACGATGCCGAGGTCAGAGTTGGTGAGTCATCCGCGAAAGTTCCGGGTACCGTGCTTCGAGATGAGCCGTCGTCCTCGCTGCCGACCGACATTCCTACCTCGTTCATTGATGGGAGAGATAAGGGTGTAGCTGAGGATGGCCACGAAACGGGCTCCGATCTTGACGGTGATAAGGTGCGGATGCTGAGTGAGGGGTTTACTCGGGTCGAGGTAAGGTTGGAAGGGTCCACGCGGACCATTGTGATCCCTATGTACCGGGAATTAGTGGTGAATATGGAGGACGTGGTCCCTTCCTTAGGTCCCCTTTGCTACAACATGGAGGGAAAAACTCTCGAGGAGTTGAACGATGCCGCCCTGTCGAGCGGTATAGCCGGCCTCGCCCTTAGGGTAAGCTTTCCGACCTTTTCAATTTCTGTGCTTTGTGCTTCATTTCTACTTTTTGTTTGATTTTGGATTTCTTCCTTTCTCTTCTCTTTTTTTAGACCATTATTCTGGAGATCGAGAGTGCCCGCCGAGAGGAGAGGCGCAAAACCATTTTTCGAAGAGATGGAGCAGAAGTACCGTGAATACCGCAACAAGCACTGCGAGATCTGCAGGCGGTTTGGCGAGAGTGGCAACTTTCAGGCTATCCAAGACGAGCTAAAAGAGATAGGCGATGAATTGATGAGGGTCATCGGCAAGTCAACATTCTTGAAGGGGCGTTGAGAGATAAAGAAGAAGAACTCGAGGTGAGCAAAGGGGTCGAGGCCCAATGTGCCGACCTCCAAGCCCAAATGATGCCGCTACGGGCCGAGCTCGAAAAATGTCTAATCAAGGCAGACACTCTGAGTGGTGAGGTCACCGAGAATACAGCGAACATAGAGAGGACCGAATTGGCTCGGTTGGAGGCTTCAAGGAAAGTGAAGGCTTTGGAGGCCGTAATCTGTGTTCTTCGTTCTGAGTGAGAAGGTGATTTGGAGACGGCTAGGCTCAGAGAGGAGCAGCTCGATGAGCGGATAAGGGAGCTGGAGAAAGAGGTTTCAAACCTTGGTGAACAAGTTGTCATTCTCGAGGATGAGAAGGCACAATTACTGGCTCAGCTGTCCTCTTCTGCCACAGCTGCTTTTCCTGATATTTTGCGGGATTTGTATGAGAAGTGGATCCACGTCGAGGCCCAACTCGATATATTTAAGGATTTGATGGCGGCGGAGAAAGTTTCTGAGGCCGGCTTCGAGGATGCTCGAGCGAGATCGAATGCAACGTAGTTAATTCGAGTGAGGTCGAATGTAACTTTTACTTAGTTAATTCGAACGAGGTCGAATGTAACTTAGTTAATTCGAGCGATGTCAAATGTAACTTTTACTTAGTTAATTCGAACGAGGTCGAATGTAACTTTATTTAATTATGGCCAGGGGCCGAGTAGGTGTTGAGGCAACGTTGCTTTGGTTGTGCATTTGGCAAAAATATGTGCGAACATCATGCATTTGTGCTTTTTTATATACTTGGAGAAATTTACATATTTTCCGGGCTGGCATTCCAGTCCCAGTCTATCTAGTGTCGGCTGGCATTCCAGTCCCAGTCTATTTAGTCCCTTCATTGGTCGACCTGGAGAAGTATTGAGAGGTTGGGCAATGAACTGATCATCTTCTGCCTCCGTCCGTTCGCACTTCAAGTTGAAGCGTCCCCCTTGTCGCCTCGTTAAAAACCTTTTGAGAAAACCCAATTGGGACAAAACTCAAGTGAGGGAAAAAGAGTACGACTTGGAGAATGCTTTTTCTTAAAAGTTGAAGTACTTGAGGTGGGTGACATTCCAATTGTTTGGTAGTAGTTTTCCTTCCATTGTTTCTAGTTGGAATGACCCTTGTTTGTTGTTGCCGTGATTTTGTATGGTCCGTCCCAATTTGTTCCCAGTTTGCCTTCCAGCGGGTCTTTGCTTGCTTGTGTTTTATCTTTGAGCACGTAGTCCTCGACTTTGAGTGGTCTGATCTTTGTTTTGCCTTTTTGTTATAGTAGCGTTCTACTTGTTATTTTTGGGCGATCAATCTTATGTAGGCCATATCTCTTCGTCCTTCGGCTTCGTCGAGCTTTTGCCTTCTGCTTTCATCGTTCCTCGGCTCGCTCTCATGGGAATATCTCAAACTTGGCTCTCCGACTTTGACCGGTATTACCGCATCAGTACCATAGACTAATGAGTAGGGCGTCTCTCCGGTGCTTGTCTTCAGCAATGTTTGGTCGGCCCAAAATACTTGTAGTAATAACTCAGTCATAGTCCATTGGCGTCCTCAAGCATTTTCTTCATGATGTTCAGTACTGATTTATTGGAGGATTCCGCTTGCCCGTTGCTCGCGGGGTGATACGATGTTCAGAGTATTCTGTTGATATGCCACTTCTCAAAAAATTAGGCGACTTTTTTTCCTGTAATTGGGGTCCGTTGTCGCAGCTGATATCTTTGGGGAGGCCGAAGCGGCACACGATGTTTTTCCATATAAAGGTGATCACTTCTTGTTCGCGTATCTGGGCGAATGCTCCTACTTCTACCCATTTAGAAAAATAGTCAGTTAAAATCAAAAGAAATCGTACATTACTCCGCCCTAGAAATCGTACATTACTCCGCCCTGCGGGTAGGGGCCGACGATGTCTATTCCCTACTTCATGAACGGACAAGGGGAACTGACTGAGTGGACGTGCTCGCCCGCTTGGTGGATCATTGGAGCGTATTTTTGGCATTGCTCGCATTTTTTCACGAAATCTGCGGCCTCTTTTTTCATGGTGGGCCAGTAGTAACCTGCCTGTATGAGACATATGACCAGAGCTCGATTGCCGGAATGAGCTCCGCAGTGGCCTTCGTGGACTTCTTCAAGGACGCGCCGCGTCTGATTTGGGCCTAAGCATTTCGCCAGGGGCCCACCATACGTCCTCTTGTATAGGTTGTTATGAGCGACGTTGTACCTGGCTTCTTGTATCTGAAGCTTCTTGGCTTCTTTTTAATCATCTGGGAGTATGCCATCCTGTAAGTATGTAACAATACGCTTGAGCCAGTCCCAAGTTAGATTTATGGTCCTTACGTTGATTTTATCTATCGATGAGTGGAGGAGGGTGACCATGTCTCTTTCTCCGGCTATGTTTTTGGTGGCTGCTGCTAATTTGGCGAGGTCGTCTGCTTCGATGTTTTGTGCTCGAGGAATCTGGTCGAGCTGACATTCATCAAACTCGGGCAGCAATTTACAGATATTAGCCTAGTATTTTTGTAATCTTTGCTCTTTGATCTGGAGAGTCCCTGTGACTTGGTTGATGACGATTTGAGAATCGTAGCATAGTCTGACCCGTCTTGCCCCGTATTTGAGTGCTAGCCTTAATCCTGCAATCACGGCCTCATACTCAGTCTCATTGTTAGTCATGTGCGGGCACCTTATGGACTGGCGAATCACTTTGCCTGTTGGGACTTCGAGTACGAGTCCCAGTCCGAACCCTGACGCGTTAGAAGCGCCATCGGTGTACAAAATCCATAGATCTTGTGTTTGGGGAGAAGAGTGGGTGGCTTCTTTTTTGACTTCGGGCATTATCTTTGCGCTGAAGTCGGCGACGAAGCTAGCAAGGACTTGTGACTTTATCGCCATTCGTGGTTGATATGTGATATCATGCTCGCTTAATTCTATGGCCTATTTGGCTAACCTACCTGATAGCTCGAGTTTATGCAAAATGCTTCTTAAGGGAAAAGTTGTGACCACCGAGATGGGGTGGCACTCGAAGTAGGGTCTAAGCTTTCGTGAAGCTACGACCAAGGCCAAGGCCAATTTTTTGAGGTGGGGGTACCTCGTCTCGGTGTCGACTAGTGTTTTGCTAATGTAGTAGATGGGAGATTGCGTACCTTTATCTTCTCGGACCAGGACCACACTCACCGCTACTTCGGATACAACAAGGTAGACGAGGAGGCGTTCCCCAGGTTCCGATTTGGAAAGCAACAGCGGCGATGACATGTAAGGCTTTAACTCCTTCAGGGCTTGGGCGCACTCGGAGGTCCACTGGAGGTCATTATCCGTTTTGAGTACGCCAAAAAATTTGCGGCATCTGTCGGATGATCGCGAGATGAATCTTGACAGGGCGGCGATAAGCCCGGTCAGCCTCTGAACCTGTTTTTTGGTGGTTAAGTGCTCTGGTATTCCTTCTATGGCTTTGATTTTCTCGGGGTTGACCTCGATGCCTTGCTGCGACACTAGGAAACCCAAGAATTTTCCTGAGGTCACGTCAAATGCACACTTTTTGGGTTTTAGTTTCATTCCATATCGCCTGAGTATGCCGAAGGCTTCTTTCAAGTGGTCGATGTGATCTTATCTCCTTTTGGACTTGACCATCATGTCGTCTATGTAGACTTTCATAGTCTTGTCGAGTTGATCCTTGAACATTTTGGTCACCAGCCTTTAGTATGTTGCCCCTGCGTTTTTCAGTCCGAGAGGCATAACTCTATAGCAGTACGTTCCTTGATGGGCGATGAAGGTGGTTTTCTCCTGATCCTCCTCTTCCATGAGGATCTAATTGTAGCCTGAGTAGGCGTCTAAAAAACATAGTAGTTCATGGCTGGCTGTTGCATCAATGAGCTGGTCGATATGAGGTAATGGGAATGAATCTTTGGGGCATGCTTTATTTAAATCTGTAAAGTCTACGCACATTCGCCACTTCCCATTTTTCTTTTTCACCATGACCACATTGGCGACCCATTGAGGATATTTTGACTCCCTGATGGAGCCATTTTCCAGTGTTTTTTCGACCTCCTCGTGCACTGCATCGTTTATTGAGGAATTGAACTTCCGCCTAACCTGCCTCACTAGGGGTTGGAATGGGTCGATGATCAACTTGTGTGTAGCGATCTCCTTCGGGATACCTGGCATATCTGCATGGCAAAAAGCAAACAAGTCCGCATTAGCAGTTAAGAATTGACGGAAGTTACCTGGTTCTTGAAGCTTGCAGCCGATGTAGGCTTTCTTGTTGTGGTCGTCGTCATCAAGTTGAACGGGGTTGAGGTCTTCTATGGTTGATTCCGCGGCTTCTATTGTTTAGGGATCTCTAATGACGACTTCTCTTTCATCGTAGCTCGACCTCGGCCCTGTTAATTGCTATGCCTTTTTTGCTTTGCCCTTCATTTGTTGGGTGGTCGTACAATCCAAGGCGATGCGGTAGCATTCTCGAGATGTGCCTTGTTCTCCTTGTATGCTGAATATTCCCCAAATGGTTGTAAATTAGATAACTTGGTACAAGCTGGAGGGGATGGCCCTCATGGCGTGTATCCAGGGTCGGCCTACTATGGCGCTGTACGTCGTGTCCTGGTCCATGATGTGGAATGTGATTTCCAGAGTGACGCCACCGACCAAGACGGGGAGTGTGATTTCTCCAGATGTTCGTTCAACTATATTATTAAAACCTATTAGCGTGATGTAATGCGGCACTATCTTATTCTCGAGTTTCATTTGTGCAAGTACTCGAGGGTTGATAATGCACGCACCGCTCCTATCATCCACCATAATGCATCTCACATCTGTATCTAACATTCGTAAAGTGATAACAAGGGCATCATAATGAGGGAAAACCAAACCGTGGGTATCTGACTTATCGAAGATGATACATTCTTCGAGTTCTTCATACCGTTCGTGAGTGATTGACCGTTTGAGCTTATAGGTTGTGGTGAACATTACGCTGCTGATTGAAGCATCGTCGCCGCCCCCGATGAACATTTGAATGGTGCGGGTTGGTAAGGGCGGTTTCGGCGGTCCCTGATGCTGCTCACGTCCTCGGGAAAAATTGGTCATCCCCCGGTCACTCAGCAATTCCTTGAGGTGTCCTTGGCGAAGTATGTTTACGACCTTCTACCTTAGGGCAATGCCGTCCTCAGTTTTGTGACCTCGCTCTTGGTAGAACTCGCAAAGGGCATCTGACTTTCTGGTGCTTGGATCTGACCTCATCTTTTGTGGGCACTTTACTTTTGGTCCGAGCTTCTATAATGCGTAGACTATTTCTGAGGGTGACACACAAAAATTGTGAGCGGATAACAAAGGGGGCTTACCTCTCTCGTTCCAATGAGTCCCTGTCCTTAGTCTAGGTGGGCCGCTCTTCCTAGCGGGAGGGGGGCATGATGGTGCTTCTGATATACGGCTTATGTCGTTCTCGATTAGGTCGTGGAGCTACGAGATCCCTCATGACATCATTTCTTCTATCCTCCCTGGATTCGGCCTATACCGAGGTCAACCGATGAGTTGGCCCATTCAGGTCGTCCTCGTTTGCTCGGACCTCGGCACAGTAGGTGTTATGTATTTCGTTCCAAGTAGTTGGAGGATATTTTATAAGCCGACTTAATAGCTTTCTCGTCGCCCTTGAACCATTCCTGCTCAGCCCGTTTTGGAAAGCTACTACGACCATTCCTTCCGATACATTTGGTAAGGTCATCCTTACTCGGTTGAGTCGAGCAAGGAAGTCCCTCAATCCCTCTCCGGGCGATTGTTCGATAGCGAATATATCGTTCACTCTTGCCTCCGCCTTTTTGGCTCCAGCGTGGGACGTTACGAACTTGTCGGCCATCTCTTCGAATGTTTCGATGGAGCGCGGGCAGCTGTGAATACCAAGTTAATGCTCCTCCCGTGAGGGTCTCGCCAAATTTTTTCAACAAGATGGAGGATACTTGTTCCTTGGCGAGGTCATTGCCTTTTATAGCGCTGACATAGTGAGTCACATGATCTTCGAGATCAGTCGTACCATCATATATTTTCAGATAGGGAGGCATTTTGAAGGTCTTTGGTATGGCATGCTTCACCACTGTATGGTTGTTCGATAAACCGACCAGCATCTCTTTTTGGCAAAAGTTTCGGGGCATCCGGTATTTTGTCGACTCTTTCTAGGTGCTCTCTCATTTGGTCCCGAAGCACTTTGTTCTCGTTTTCTGTTTCCTCCATCTCTTTTCAAAATGGTTGTGAGGGTGTCGTCACCTGCATTATTAACAGTGTGAGTAATACATGTTATTGGAGGGAAAGGGCCATGCTGCTCGACCGTTGTCGGTGTAATGCAAGTCCTTGCATTTTCTCTGACTGTCTCCTGGGCAGGCTTGTTGAGGATGTTGGTTAGCGTGTTAGCTAGCCAAGTCTCAAGGAGCTTTTTCACTGCTGGTGGCGTCTCTTCCATCGTGGACGTGGAAGCTCCTTTACCGCGGGACGTTGCGATATTGCTGTGAGGGAGGGGCGACCCGCCTCGCCGAGGGGAGGCACTAGGCGTTATATCCTCGCTTTCTGTCTTAGAAACCTCATAGATGGTGTTCAAGAGATTGGTGGTGAGGTCGGTCACTACCCTCATTCTTTCTTCTCCATTACCTGCCATGTTAGATCTGTGTGTACAAGGAAAAAGGAACTTTGTTTTGTGTTTTTTTTGTTAGCAACCTGTGGTAGTTATAGATCTAGAAGAAACTAAAAATTTAACTAGGAAATCCCCACAGACGACGCCAAATTGTTTGACCAAAAGGGTAAACTTTCGGTTAAACTATTAATTCTTATGTAATGAAGGGTTAAACCTAGTTAATGATAATATCTCTAGATTTAGTACTAGTTAGTGTAAATAACGTGAGACAATGCTGAAGGGGAACTAAAAACATCGCACATTTAATATTCTGAAGGATTTGAGCAATAATAGAGAAACATCAAACAATAAATAACAGTAAATGACATTTATATAAATAAGGAGAATGTTTCACCCAATAGTGAATGAGGTGGATGATTTTTCTTTCTCACAGTTAGGGGTGTTCATAAAAACTCGAAAAACCGACCAAAAAAATCGATACTTTTTGGTTTGGTTTGGTTTTGGTTTTGAATTTTAAAAACCGATTAAATTTGGTTTGGTTTTGGTTTTAATCAGAAAAAAATCGAACCAAACCGACTATAGGAGTAGCTATTTCAAATTTATTATTACACACACACACATATATATATATACACAAAGTTTCAAAAAATTTATGGTAAATGTTAATAGTTTGCACTTTTAATATAGTTCTTTACCTTTACATTCTAGTTTGATTGGTAGTTTTCCTTTTTTTAGTGTAAGAATCCATTTCGTGTTAAAAATAACATATTTTTAATTGAGTCCTTAAATTATTCATCACTATTTGATTCAATTATCATCAATATATCTTGGTAAATAATAGATTTCTTAAAGGACAATTGATTTGATAGTGTTACATTGAAAATATGGTCGCCGGAATATGTGTTTGGTAGTGTATGTCTTATATTTAAGAAAAAACCGACAAATAACCGAAAAAACCAAAAAACCAACATAAACCGAATCGAGAAAAACCGACTTAATTGGTTTGGTTTGGTTCTAATATTTGAAAAACCGACTTACTTGGTTTGGTTTCTTTTTAGAGAAAAACCGATCCAAACCGATCCATGAACACCCCTACTCACAGTGATGAATGACAGACAAATCCTAGAATACTGGAACTATTATGGAAAAGTATGAAATAATGGATGATGGAATCTTAGTAAAAAGGTAGAGTTTGTATCTTTGCAAGAGAGAGTCTTTTCTCAAAAAGGGTTCTTATCAAATGAATATTACATATCCTATCCCTTTATCTCTTTTTCTATTTACATGAGACATATTCCTAATCAACCCTAATAGTACAAGTGCAGAGAATATTATTGAATATTCTCTTTGACCTCGACCATTATTAACTTCCCTGCCATGAGTCTCACTGTTTACTAGTCGACCTCGGCCGCATAATTTTCTTAATGCCACTTTATGCTAAATTCCTTTAGGGCAGATTTTGGCCTATACAAGTCTAAACGTTTTATATGTGCATCACAGACTATCTAACAAGAAATAAAGGGAGGCACAACTTAACAAGCTAAAGGTAACACCAATAACTGAGGTCATTAATTAAGTTATCACAATCTCAAAGGACACTATGAGCAAAAGAAATTAAAGGCGGCAGAAGTGCAAGTACCTGTAGCTTTCTGGTTTTTATGGTCAATGTCAATTCATTATTCCCTTGCCAAGGCGAGGATATTCCTGTGGTTCAATTATAAGAAAGTGATATCAACACCCTTTGTATGATTTCATATATCAGCTTAATTTCAGAGTTAGTAGCCTCAGTATATAGCAATATAAAGAGAGTTATGCTCTTCTAGCAGGGAAGACAAAAAAGAAAATTCCACACCAATAAGATTCACAGTATGTTAATTATCGTCAGTAAATATTTGAAACTGTATTTTAAACATTTCAACTTTCACCTGAAAACAAATTAAAGTACTGAAGAAGCACGTGATCTTTGTGTTCTACTATATCATGATACAAAACAGCAACAAAGAACGGCATAAGGAAGTATGCCAAAGTGAGGTTTCCTCAAATATTTTTGTAATTATGCTGCAAATTACTTAGTGTAGCTAATTACTTTTCCTTCATGGTACTATTTCGTATTGGTCACCCAAGAACATTTAACCTTGCAACATGGTGCTTACTCACCTATGCCCTATGCTACTCAGAGTTAAACTAGTGATGTTTTCAACTATTGGACTTTTGGCATCAAAGGTGCAACATTTGAGCCGTTTTGCCTAGTACCATATTGCTTGTTTTACTCTCCACAACCCCATTTTGGATTGTATACTATGATAGTGTGAAAAAACTTTATATTGGCACTATACCAGAATAATCTTATTATATATTTAAGATATATGCAGTGATAGTGTTAAAAAAAATTATACTGGCTTGTCAGTACAATTTATTCAATTATTGGTAAGCAGTAAATATACACTATAAATACAATTGTGTATATTGTTTATGCACAAGACTTTAAACTCATTTTTTGTAGTAGTTCCTGAGGCAGAAGACAGTTAGCTAGAAAGAGTGGTTATGAATATGTAATGTTAGTCACTCAAGTTGTAACTTCTAAACTTTCAATAGGTTAGACCCTATATAGTTCCAAAAATGAATTTAGTTACAATATTAAATTGGCAAAATGCATATATCGCCCTCAAACTTATCCCGAAAAATTAGTTACATATCTAAACTTTGTGGGCGACCCTTTACCCCTATTCTTTTAAATTGAGTAAA